ATATATATATATATATATATATATATATATATATAGTGCCAATGTATGATAGAGACTTATGTTATATACACTTAACGTTATATAGACGTATAACTACAATTCAGTTCCTTATGATGAGAAAGCAGATACTGAGCATAAGGCAAGTGATTATGCGCCCTCCCTGCCTCTTTCCCTGCAGGGAGGTTGAGGGGGGAGGAAGGTGAAGGAAATGCCCATCTCCTGGTTCAAGCTCTTCCCTGGGCCCCTCTATTCCCATTGAGAAGAGATATATACTCTTCTGGTTTACATACTATCCTTAATGAACTTGAATTACTTCCTCCTCCTGGTTGCTGGCCACCAGTACTGCTGAGTTTTTTCTTCTGTGTACTACTTGAATTATGGAGGCTTTCTTTGCAGGCTTTAGCCCGAGCACCAGCTTGAGTAGGGTAAGAATTGCACAAGTTCTGCAAATCAATTTCATATTATTCTAGTCCTCCTCCTGGCTGCTGGCCCTGTTTGCTAATGAGCATATTATGAAATTATACTTAGAGGATTGCTGCTGCCCAGAAATGCAGAGGCTTTCTTCTTGGTTGCTGGCCAAGACCTCCAGATAAATTCCCTCCCGGGGTCCAGGTAGTAGGCCCAGGCCTATGGGCTCTTCACCCAACTTGCCCACCTCTGCACCTCTCCATTGTACCCTTGTAACTTTCAAATCATTGCTGGCCACAAAGCAAGCTGTGCTCCTGAGCTATGACCCTATATGACAGTTCATATAGTCTTCTCACCCTTCTCCTGGTTACTGGTTATGTTCCCAGCAAATTCAGACTGGAGTACAGTACATGTCTTTTGACTGGAGGAAAGCTTCTTGCTGGCGAAAACCCTCCCTGCCTTTTATATATAGTTTTCTCACCCTCCTCCTGGTTACTGGCCATGTCCTGCATCAGTATGAGCTGGACAAGTTGTGCAAGCACATCTCATTCATTGCTGCAAAGGGTTCGGGTCACAGGTGGTGCCTTCCACTAAGGAAGTTTGCATTTCTCTTCTGAATTGTGAAGGCCTTCTGCTTGGTTGCTGGGCAATATGTCCGCAGTCCAGGTAGTAGGCTCTTCGCTCCACTTGCTCTCTGCCTTACGCCTCTCGCCCTCCTCCTGGTTAGCTTTGACCACTGCAGTAGCAGAAGCTGAGGCTTTTTCACTGGCTTTGGCCTGAGCATCAGCTAGATTTGCACAAGTTCTGCAGCCCCACTTCCTATAGTCTTCTTGCCTTCCACCTGGTTACTGGCCATGTCCCAGCAAATTCGGATTGGGGTACATGTCTTCTGACACCCACCCACCACTC